CCCCAAAACCCCAAAACCCCAAAACCCCAAAACCCCTAAAATACAGAGCAATGTTGAAAATTGGAGACCAAGTAAAATCTTATAAGAAAACAATTGCCAGAGTTTTAAAGTATAAATAGGTTAGCTAGGCATAATGTCATGCTCTCCAGTGGTCTTATGGAAGTCTTGATTGAGCATTAGGTATTGGGGTTGTTACTTTAAAGCTACCGGAACCTAAATCTTGGTTTTCAAGCTCAAACTGCTCATTCTGGTCGTTAGGCCCGTTTTTCTTCCTCTTGGCTTTTTAGTACCTTTTTGACTTCAGCTCTAGCCACCCAAGAAACATAAAAGACAGCTATGATTGCAAAGATAGAGCCGACTATGAGTAGTACAAGTTGGAGCGCTCCTCCATTAAATTTGCCAGAAGCAACATCTGAGAGATTTGAGATTGTGGTTCCGAAATATACATAAACTATAGTCCCAGGGATCATTCCCAGACCTCCTAAAGCATACTCTACAAAGGCAACCTTGGTAATCCCCATAAGATAATTGAATAGGTTGAATGGAATAGCTGGTGAAAGCCTCAGGAGTAAAGTCAACTTGAATCCCTATATTTTCATGTGAGATCATAACTTTTTGGTGCTTCTGCTTTACAGATTATGACAATTAACAAAATATCTTTTGAAAGCAGACGTTCGGCAAAATTAAATCTAAGATATATTTTATCTAAAATTTTGAAGCATTTCTGAAAATTTTGACTGGAAGAAGAAAACGCTTGTCAACACATGAAGATTCTATGAGTTAAATCTCAAGGGAAATCCAATATCAATGCTAAACTTACCTCTTTCTCAATAGCAGTATCAATAGCTCCAAATACTTTGTGTCTTTTTGCTTTCTTTCCAACCCATTCTCTGAGTAGATATCTCCCTATCAGCATGGCAAGCATACTTCCTATCATCGCTCCTCACCACACAGCTATTGAGCCGACTAAGATAGCCACTAAATAATTTCTTCTTAATACTTACACCATACTTTCCCATAAGCTTCATTAAATGCAAATCCTGCTCCAAGAGTGAGTATCAGCCCCGGTATAAAGAAGATAGTAGCTAATATGTATACAATGACGAATACAAACGGTGCGAAATACGGATTTTTCTGCATCCAGTTGATAAATCCCTCAAATACACCTGTAAGTCTGGAGGAGTCAAAGATCACCCAGATTGCTAACCCTATAAGCCCTAGGAGAATAGTGAGCCGAAAGATCCAGGTTCACCAGTTGCTGCCCTTATCGTCCTCTTCGTGACCTTCTTCTTGAGCTTCCTGTTCAACTTCTTCTAGATGTTCCTCGTGCTGACCATTTTTAAGTATCTCTGGGCCTCTATGAATTAAGGTTTCAAAGAGGTTTCCCTTGTTTTGGCCTTCTAAATAGTCCTTGGTCTCCTCCTTATGTGAATGATCACATAGCTTTTGAGCTTTGGCTTCTTGAGTGTTATCTAGAAGTGACTTTTTGAACATCTTCTTTTGAAAAATACTTACTCATGATTTTTTAATTTTTTAATATATTTTAGATAAATTTCAAAGAAGGAAAATAAAGAATTTACGCAAAGTTTCAATTTTAGATCAAATTCTAGGGGTTTTGGGGTTTTGGGGTTTTGGGGTTTTGGGGTTTTGGGGTTTTGGGG